ATCTGCGTGAGTGGGGAATACCCCCGGCCTCTGTAGGAACACTCCCTGTAGAAATGGGAATCAGCGTGAGTGGGGAATACCCCCGGCCTCTGTATGAACACTCCCAGTAGAAGTGGGAATCTGCGTTAGTGGGGAATACCCACGGCCTCTGTAGGAACCCTCCCTGGAGAAGGGGGAATCTGCGTGAGTGGGGAATACCCCCGGCCTCTGTAGGATTACTCTCTGGAGAAGTGGGAATCTGCGTGAGTGGGGAATACCCCAGCCCTCTGTAGGAACACTCCCTGTAGAACCGGGAATCTGCGTGAGTGGGGAATACCCCCGGCCTCTGTAGGAACACTCCCTGTAGAAATGGGAATCTGCGTGAGTGGGGAATACCCCCGGCCTCTGTAGGAACACTCCCTGTAGAAATGGGAATCTGCGTGAGTGGGGAATACCCAGACCTCTGTAGGAACACTCCCTGTAGAAACGGGAATCTGCGTGAGTGGGGAATACCCCCGGCCTCTGTAGGAACACTCCCTGTAGAAATGGGAATCTGCGTGAGTGGGGAATACCCCCGGCCTCTGTAGGATTACTCTCTGGAGAAGTGGGAATCTGCGTGAGTGGGGAATACCCCAGACCTCTGTAGGAACACTCCCTGTAGAAACGGGAATCTGCGTGAGTGGGGAATACCCCCGGCCTCTGTAGGAACACTCCCTGTAGAAATGGGAATCTGCGTGAGTGGGGAATACCCCCGGCCTCTGTAGGAACACTCCCTGTAGAAATGGGAATCTGCGTGAGTGGGGAATACCCCAGACCTCTGTAGGAACACTCCCTGTAGAAACGGGAATCTGCGTGAGTGGGGAATACCCCCGGCCTCTGTAGGAACACTCCCTGTAGAAGAGGGAATCTGCGTGAGTGGGGAATACCCCCGGCCTCTGTATGAACACTCCCAGTAGAAGTGGGAATCTGCGTTAGTGGGGAATACCCCCGGCCTCTGTAGGAACCCTCCCTGGAGAAGGGGGAATCTGCGTGAGTGGGGAATACCCCCGGCCTCTGTAGGATTACTCTCTGGAGAAGTGGGAATCTGCGTGAGTGGGGAATACCCCAGACCTCTGTAGGAACACTCCCTGTAGAAACGGGAATCTGCGTGAGTGGGGAATACCCCCGGCCTCTGTAGGTACACTCCCTGTAGAAATGGGAATCTGCGTGAGTGGGGAATACCCCCGGCCTCTGTAGGAACACTCCCTGTAGAAGTGGGAATCTGCGTGAGTGGGGAATACCCCAGACCTCTGTAGGAACACTCCCTGTAGAAATGGGAATCTGCGTGAGTGGGGAATACCCCCGGCCTCTGTAGGAACACTCCCTGTAGAAATGGGAATCAGCGTGAGTGGGGAATACCCCCGGCCTCTGTATGAACACTCCCAGTAGAAGTGGGAATCTGCGTTAGTGGGGAATACCCACGGCCTCTGTAGGAACCCTCCCTGGAGAAGGGGGAATCTGCGTGAGTGGGGAATACCCCCGGCCTCTGTAGGATTACTCTCTGGAGAAGTGGGAATCTGCGTGAGTGGGGAATACCCCAGACCTCTGTAGGAACACTCCCTGTAGAAACGGGAATCTGCGTGAGTGGGGAATACCCCCGGCCTCTGTAGGAACACTCCCTGTAGAAATGGGAATCTGCGTGAGTGGGGAATACCCCCGGCCTCTGTAGGAACACTCCCTGTAGAAATGGGAATCTGCGTGAGTGGGGAATACCCCAGACCTCTGTAGGAACACTCCCTGTAGAAACGGGAATCTGCGTGAGTGGGGAATACCCCCGGCCTCTGTAGGAACACTCCCTGTAGAAATGGGAATCTGCGTGAGTGGGGAATACCCCCGGCCTCTGTAGGAACACTCCCTGTAGAAATGGGAATCTGCGTGAGTGGGGAATACCCCAGACCTCTGTAGGAACACTCCCTGTAGAAATGGGAATCTGCGTGAGTGGGGAATACCCCCGGCCTCTGTAGGAACACTCCCTGTAGAAATGGGAATCAGCGTGAGTGGGGAATACCCCCGGCCTCTGTATGAACACTCCCAGTAGAAGTGGGAATCTGCGTTAGTGGGGAATACCCCCGGCCTCTGTAGGAACCCTCCCTGGAGAAGGGGGAATCTGCGTGAGTGGGGAATACCCCCGGCCTCTGTAGGATTACTCCCTGGAGAAGTGGGAATCTGCGTGAGTGGGGAATACCCCAGACCTCTGTAGGAACACTCCCTGTAGAAACGGGAATCTGCGTGAGTGGGGAATACCCCCGGCCTCTGTAGGAACACTCCCTGTAGAAATGGGAATCTGCGTGAGTGGGGAATACCCCCGGCCTCTGTAGGAACACTCCCTGTAGAAATGGGAATCTGCGTGAGTGGGGAATACCCCAGACCTCTGTAGGAACACTCCCTGTAGAAATGGGAATCTGCGGGAGTGGGGAATACCCCCGGCCTCTGTAGGAACACTCACTGTAGAAATGGGAATCTGCGTGAGTGGCGAATACCCCCGGTCGCTGTAGGAACACTCCGTGAAGAAGCGGGAATCTGCGTGAGTGGGGAATACCCCAGATCTCTGTAGGAACACTCCCTGTATAAGTGGGAATCTGCGTGAGTGGCGAATACGCCCGGTCTCTGCAGGAACACTCCGTGAAGAAGCGGGAATCTGCTTGTGTGGGGAAAACCCCCGGCATCTGTAGGAACACGCCCTGTAGAAGTGGGAATCTGCGTGAGAGGGGAATATCCCCGGCCTCTGTAGGAACACTCCCTGTAGAAGCGGGAATCTGCGTGTGTGAGGAATACCCCCGGTCTCTGTAGGAACACTCCCTGGAGAAATGGGAATCTGCGTGAGTGGGGAATACCCCCGGTCTCTGTAGGAACACTCCCTGGAGAAGTGGGAATCTGCGTGAGTGGGGAATACCCCCGGTCTCTGTAGGAACACTCCCTGGAGAAATGGGAATCTGTGTGAGTGGGGAATACCCCGGACCTCTGTAGTAACACTGCCTGGAGAAGTGGGAATCTGCGTGAGTGGGGAATACCCCCGGTCTCTGTAGGAACACTCCGTGAAGAAGCGGAAAACTGCGTGAGTGGCGAATACCCCAGACCTCTGTAGGAACACTACCTGGAGAAGTGGGAATCTGCGTGATTGGAAATACTCCCGGTCTCTGTAGGAACACTCCCTGGAGAATTCGGAATCTGCATGAGTAGGGAATACCCCCGGCCTCTGCAGGAGCACTCCCTGGAGAAGTGTCAATCTGCGTGAGTGGGGAATACCCCCGGCCTCTGTAGGAACAGGTAGAAGTGGGAATCTGCTTGAGTGTGGGATACCCCTGGCCTCTGTAGGAACACTCCCTGGAGAAGCGGGAATCTGCGTGATTGGGGAAGTCCACCGGCCTCTGTGGGAACACTCCGTGAAGAAGCGGGAATCTGCGTGAGTGGGAATACCCCCAGCCTCTGTAGGAACACTCCCTGTAGAACTGGGAATGTGTGAGTGGGAATACCCCCGGTCTCTGTAGGGACACTCCCTGTAGAAATGGGAATCTGTGTGAGTGGGAATACCCCCGGCCTCTGTAGGAACACTCCCTGGAGAGGTTGGAATCTGCGTGAGTGGGGGATACCCCCGGCCTCTAGAGGAACACTCCCTGGAGAAGCGGGAATCTGCGTGATTGGGGAATACCCCCTCAGGGGGATATCTTTAAAACTACTTTCTGGAGAAGTGGGAATCTGTGTGTTGGAATACCCTGTGTTTGTGTAACTCTGTTTTGTTGTCGTAACATTCTTACCCCCTACCAGACACATCTGAGCTGCATAGCTCCTCGGATTGGCCCGTCCAGTAAAAATAAATAAATATTCCGAATCTGGTTCCACCCACCCTACCCAAGGTGGCGACCTCTTCCTCTCTTCCCCTACCCAAGATGGAGACGGAAACATCGTTCTCTCTTCCCCTACCCAAGATGGAGACGTCTCCATCTTTATCTCCCTACCTACCCAAGATGGCGACGTATTCATCTCCCCACCTACCCAATATGGCAACGTCTTCTTCTCTCTCTCCCATCTTACCCAAGATTGCAGCTTCAGCGTTTTCCTTTCTCCCCTACCCATAATGGTGACATCTTCCTTTCTCTCCCTTACCCAAGATGGTGACATCTTCCTTTCTCTCCCATACCCAAGATGGCGACGTCTTATCCTCTCTCCCCTACCCAAAATGGCGACGCCTTCTCCTCTCCCTCCTACCCAAGATGGTTACGTCTTCCCCTCTCCCCCTCACCCAAGATGGCGACGTGTTCCCCTCTCCTCCCTACTCAAGATGACGACGTCCTCCCCTCTCCCGCCTCGCCCAAGATGGCGACGTCCTCCCCTCTTACCCAAAATGGCGACGTCCTCCCCCCTTACCCAAGATAGCGACGTCCTCCACTCTCTCCCCCCCTTACCCAAGATGGCGACGTCTTCCTCTCCCCCCCCACCCAAGATGGCAGTTTCAGCATTTTCCTCTCTCCCCTACCCAAGATGGTGACTTCAGCAGCTTCCTCCCCCTACCCAAGATGGCGACATCTTCCTCTCTCTTCCCCACCCAAGATGGCGACGCGTCCCTCTCTCTCCCATCGAACATGGCGGCCTCAACATCTTCACCCCCCTATCAAAGATGGCTATGCTATGACGTCATTTCCGCTGGCCGAAACCGGACCTCGCCTCTCCATTGCGAACGTGGCCCGGAACTTACGCCAGACCTCAACCTTCTGCCATCTTGGTCAGGGGTACCCCACACCTTCCCTGACTACAATACGGTGGGTCGCCATATTACGTAGGGGGTGGGTAACCACCACGTGACCGGACCCCGACGTCACCAACTTGGATTAACACCGCCCCCATCCACACATCACTCTTGGTCACGTGTACCGGAAACTACGTCACAGGTCACCCTTCCGCCATCTTGGTCAGGGGTACCCCTCCACTCATTACAACACGGTGGGGGGCGGGGCGGGGCGGGGCAGGGGGCGGGGCGCCATCTCCCCCCCCTCACTTCCTGCCCCTCTTTCGGCGGCCATTGTTGTTTCCTTTGTGGCTGGCAGAGCGACAAGTGGGGCAGCGATCAGAACGAACGGACGCACGCAAGGAGAGGAAGGAGGAGGAAGGAAGGAAAGAACAAAAGCGGCAGCGGCGGTCGAAGGAGACAACAAGAGAGAGAGAGAGACGAAGGGAGAGAGAGACGAGGAGAGAGAGACGGAGAGAGAGAGACGCGTCAAAGTGAGACGCGGCTTGCTAACGGTGTTTTTTTGTGTTGTTGGGTCAGAAACTAAGCGTGATCACACATAATAGAGGTTTTTATTTTTTGGGGGGGGGTGGTTAGATCGCGTAAATATATAAATGTGTCGTTAAAACCCGCCACAACCCGACACAGCCAACTAGTAAGGGTTTGTCACGTAAACAGAACGTGGCCAATTCGTCACCAGTACAGCACTAGTGTGTAGTGTATAGTGTAGTGTGGTGTATATTGTAGTGTATAGTGTAGTGTGTAGTGAATAGTGTAGTGTGTAGTGAATAGTGTAGTGTATAGTGTAGTGTGTAGTGTATAGTGTAGTGTATAGTGTAGTATATAGTGTAGTGAATAGTGTAGTGTATAGTGTAGTGTATAGTGTAGTGTATAGTGTAGTGTATAGTGTAGTGTATACTAGTACAGCACACCGGTTGTGTGTTGGAGAGCCAAGCCACAACATTTACAATCTTGAGTACGACGTTTCGCCAGTAATTACAACCAGCTTCATCAATGAAGATAGTTGTAATTACGTGACAAACCCTTACTAGTTAGCTGTGGTGGCGGGTTTTAACGACACATATTCACGTGATCTAACCCAAAACACCTCTTGTGGATATTGGTCGCGAAAGCCGACGTGTTCAAGGGGTAATCGCGTTAAAGCGCTCAAAGTCGACGCGTTTTGAACGTTCGCCGGGCGTACACGTCTTGGACTGGATCGCGACGATCCGGTGCTAGGGACGTGGCTTCGATTCGCGTTTCCAGCGAGCGCGCTCCGACCGAGAAAGCCTCGCGTTCAAGTTCAAGTTTCAAGTTTTCATTTATTAGGTATAGCCCTGTGAGCCATGCGGCTCTTTAAGTCGGGTGCAACCGCAACAAACAAAATTTGAACACAGAACATCTTAAAGCGACAACGCGTAACAGAAACATTCTGGAATAAACCAGCAAATATTCCACACAAAAAAAAGTATTAAAACCCTGTGTGCAAAAATCCATGTGGTGCAAGCCAACAACAACCATAAGACAGTTGATCACCGGTGCGGCGTCTTTGTTGTTGTGCAAAAATAAACTTGGCAACGTAAACTCAGACATCGTCAACAATTTCTACTTAACAATTTCTACTTGGCGTGTCACCCCCGACGCGGATTCGTAATTCCACCACCGTTTCACTCGCTACGAAATTCAAATTAACCACTGTTATATACTCTTGGTTCTTTCGGTCAAGTCACGTAGACGGGAAACAATAAAATAATAAAAATATAAAACAATACAATTCTCACGACGTTTCGACTGCAACACAAGCAATCGTCATCAGGTGTGATAACCACAGCAAGAAAATTTGAAAAAATTAGGGTAATCGTCTTTTTTCAAATTTTCTTGCTGTGGTTTTCACACCTGATGATGATTGCTTGTGTTGCGGTCGAAACGTCGTGAGAATTTTATTGTTTAATATTTTTATTATTTTATTGTTTCCCTTCTACGTGACTTTACCGAAATAACCAAGAATATGAATCCCTGCAGTCACGAAAGCTTTAAATCAAAATTTGAACCACTGTTAATTAAAATTCGTCGCTGAAGCGTGTGCAGGTGCTTGTCAGAATTAGGGTAATCGTCTTAAACCCCCGAAAGGTGACTTATTTTAAATGCTCACCGAAGCGAGACGGGGCTCGACTTGTTCCTCGTCTTGTGCCGAATCTTAACGGGGTGCTGGGTCTCGACGATCCTGGGAATCGGCTTCGATTCGCGTTTCCAGCAAGCGCGCTCCGACCGTCTCGCGTTAATCCGATGGTGCGGTGCGTTTTTTTTGGCACGAAAAAGGGTAATCGCCTTTGACCGCTCTAACTTCGCAAACAAATCCCCGACGTCGTCGGGAATCGCCGTGCGGTGTTGCCCAGCCGCTGCCGAATTTCCACGGACAAGATACGACCCCTGAGGAATTGTTGCTCAACGCGAATCGCCGGCCTCGTGTTGACTCTCTCTATACGCCCGTCTGTCTTTTTTTGTGTTTGTCAGAATTAAAAGGAGCAAAGTCGACCCTCGGAACGTTGGGCGGACGTTGGAGCCGGCCGCACCTCTTTCTCGGTTTGTGTTGAATCCACGGCACAGTGCCACAGACTCAGCACTCACCCACAGACTCAGCACTCACCCACAGACTCAGCACTCACCCACAGACTGAGCACTCGCCCACAGACTCACCACTCACCCCCAGACTCACCACTCTCCCACAGACTCGGCACTCACCCACAGACTCACCACTCACCCACAGACTCGGCACTCACCCACAGACTCGTCACTCACCCACAGACTCGGCACTCACCCACAGACTCACCACTCACCCACAGACTCGGCACTCACCCACAGACTCGTCACTCACCCACAGACTCGGCACTCACCCACAGACTCAGCACTCACCCACAGACTCAGCACTCACCCACATGCCACTCACCATTAAACGCATCACTCATGCATAGACTCACCACTACGCAAAGACCCATAGGCTCACCATTGCGCAGAGACCCATAGACTCACCACCACACAGAGAACCATTGACTCACCACCACACAGAGACCCATAGACTCACCACTACACAAATTTCAATAAACTCACCACTACACAAAAAGCCACAGATTGACCAATCACCCACACTCACCAATACACAGATACCCACAGACTCAGCACTTACCCAACAGACTCAGCACTCACCCACAGACTCAGCACTCACCCACAGACTCAGCACTCACCCACAGACTCAGCACTCACCCACAGACTCACCACTCACCCACAGACTCACCACTCACCCCACATCACTCACCATTAAACTCATCACTCATGCAGAGACCCAAAGACTCACCACCACGCAGAAAACCATAGACTCACCACCAAACAGAGACCCATAGACTCAACCCTACACAGAGACCCATAGACGCACCACTACACAAATACCAATAAACTCACGACTACACAAAGAGCCACAGACTGACCACTCACCCACACTCACCACTGCACAGAGACCGGTAGACTCACCACCACACAGACCCATAGACTCAGCACTACACAGAGACCCTTTGACGTATCTCCACACATAGACCCATAGACTCACCACTACACACAGAAACCCATAGACTCACCTCCATACAAATACCAATAAACTCGCCACTCCACAGATACCCACAGACTCAGCACTCACCCACAGACTCATCACTCGCCCACAGACTCAGCACTCACCCACAGACTCACCACTCACCCACAGACTCACCAATCACCCCACACCATTCACCATTAATCTCATCACTCATGCGGAGACCCATAGACTCACCACTACTCAGAGACCCATAGAATCACCACTGCACTCGGACCCAAAGACTCACAACCACACATAGACCCATAGACTCACCACTGCACAGATACCCACAGACTCACCACTCAGTCACAGACTCACCACTCACCCAAAGACTCATCACTCACCCACAGACTCACCACTCACCCACAGACTCACCACTCACCCACAGACTCACCACTCACCCACAGACTCACCACTCACCCACAGACTCACCACTCACCCACAGACTCAGCACTCACCCACAGACTCAGCACTCACCCAAAGACTCACCACTCACCCACACTCATCACTACACAGAGACCCACAGACTCACCACTCACGCACAGACTCACCACTCACCCACAGACTCACCAATCACCCCACACCATTCACCATTAATCTCATCACTCATGCGGAGACCCATAGTCTCACCACAACTCAGACACCCATAGAATCACCACTGCACTCGGACCCAAAGACTCACAACCACACATAGACTCACCACTGCACAGATACCCACAGACTCACCACTCACCCACAGACTCACCACTCACTCAAAGACTCATCACTCACCCACAGACTCACCACTCACCCACAGACTCACCACTCACCCACAGACTCACCACTCACCCACAGACTCACCACTCACCCACAGACTCAGCACTCACCCACAGACTCAGCACTCACCCAAAGACTCACCACTCACCTACAGACTCAGCACTCACCCACAGACTCATCACTCACCCACAGACTCATCACTCACCCACAGACTCAGCACTCACCCACAGACTCACCAATCACCAAACACCCATCACTACACAGAGACCCACAGACTCACCACTCACGCACAGACTCACCACTCACCCACAGACTCAACAATCACCCCACACCATTCACCATTAATCTCATCCCTCATGCGGAGTCCCATAGACTCACCACTACTCAGACACCCATAGAATCACCACTGCACTCGGACCCAAAGACTCACAACCACACATAGACCCATAGACTCACCACTGCACAGATACCCACAGACTCACCACTCAACCACAGACTCACCACTCACCCAAAGACTCAGCACTCACCCACAGACTCAGCACTCACCCACAGACTCGGCACTCACCCACAGACTCACCAATCACCCACAGACTCACCAATCACCCACAGACTCACCACTCACCCACACTCATCACTACACAGAGACCCACAGACTCACCACTCACCCACAGACTCACCACTCACCCACAGACTCGGCACTCGCCCACAGACTCAGCACTCACCAAAAGACTCAGCACTCACCCACAGACTCAGCACTCACCCACAGACTCGGCACTCACCCACAGACTCATCACTCACCCACAGACTCACCACTCACCCACAGACTCAGCACTCACCCACAGACTCACAACTCACCCACAGACTCACCACTCACCCACAGACTCAGCACTCACCCACAGACTCAGCACTCACCCAAAGACTCACCACTCACCCACAGACTCAGCACTCACCCACAGACCCAGCACTCACCCACAGACTCAGCACTCACCCACAGACTCACCACTCACCCACAGACTCAGCACTCACCCACAGACTCAGCACTCACCCACAGACTCGGCACTCACCCACAGACTCACCACTCACCCACATTCACCACTCACCCACACTCATCACTACACAGAGACCCACAGACTCACCACTCACCCACAGACTCACCACTCACCCACAGGCTCACCACTCAACCACAGACTCAGCACTCACCCACAGACTCACCACTCACCCACAGAATTAGCGCTCACCCACAGACTCACCACTCACCCACAGACTCACCACTCACCCACAGACTCCGCTCTCACCCCCAGACTCACCACTCACCCACAGACTGACCACTCGCCCACAGACTGAGCACTCACCCACAGACTCACCACTCACCCACAGACTCAACAATCACCCCACACCATTCACCATTAATCTCATCCCTCATGCGGAGTCCCATAGACTCACCACTACTCAGACACCCATAGAATCACCACTGCACTCGGACCCAAAGACTCACAACCACACATAGACCCATAGACTCACCACTGCACAGATACCCACAGACTCACCACTCAACCACAGACTCACCACTCACCCAAAGACTCAGCACTCACCCACAGACTCAGCACTCACCCACAGACTCGGCACTCACCCACAGACTCACCAATCACCCACAGACTCACCAATCACCCACAGACTCACCACTCACCCACACTCATCACTACACAGAGACCCACAGACTCACCACTCACCCACAGACTCACCACTCACCCACAGACTCGGCACTCGCCCACAGACTCAGCACTCACCAAAAGACTCAGCACTCACCCACAGACTCAGCACTCACCCACAGACTCGGCACTCACCCACAGACTCATCACTCACCCACAGACTCACCACTCACCCACAGACTCAGCACTCACCCACAGACTCACAACTCACCCACAGACTCACCACTCACCCACAGACTCAGCACTCACCCACAGACTCAGCACTCACCCAAAGACTCACCACTCACCCACAGACTCAGCACTCACCCACAGACCCAGCACTCACCCACAGACTCAGCACTCACCCACAGACTCACCACTCACCCACAGACTCAGCACTCACCCACAGACTCACCACTCACCCACAGACTCACCACTCACCCACAGGCTCACCACTCAACCACAGACTCAGCACTCACCCACAGACTCACCACTCACCCACAGAATTAGCGCTCACCCACAGACTCACCACTCACCCACAGACTCACCACTCACCCACAGACTCCGCACTCACCCCCAGACTCACCACTCACCCACAGACTCACCACTCGCCCACAGACTGAGCACTCACCCACAGACTCACCACTCACCCACAGACTCAACAATCACCCCACACCATTCACCATTAATCTCATCCCTCATGCGGAGTCCCATAGACTCACCACTACTCAGACACCCATAGAATCACCACTGCACTCGGACCCAAAGACTCACAACCACACATAGACCCATAGACTCACCACTGCACAGATACCCACAGACTCACCACTCAACCACAGACTCACCACTCACCCAAAGACTCAGCACTCACCCACAGACTCAGCACTCACCCACAGACTCGGCACTTACCCACAGACTCACCAATCACCCACAGACTCACCAATCACCCACAGACTCACCACTCACCCACACTCATCACTACACAGAGACCCACAGACTCACCACTCACCCACAGACTCACCACTCACCCACAGACTCGGCACTCGCCCACAGACTCAGCACTCACCAAAAGACTCAGCACTCACCCACAGACTCAGCACTCACCCACAGACTCGGCACTCACCCACAGACTCATCACTCACCCACAGACTCACCACTCACCCACAGACTCAGCACTCACCCACAGACTCACAACTCACCCACAGACTCACCACTCACCCACAGACTCAGCACTCACCCACAGACTCAGCACTCACCCAAAGACTCACCACTCACCCACAGACTCAGCACTCACCCACAGACCCAGCACTCACCCACAGACTCAGCACTCACCCACAGACTCACCACTCACCCACAGACTCAGCACTCACCCACAGACTCAGCACTCACCCACAGATTCGGCACTCACCCACAGACTCACCACTCACCCACATTCACCACTCACCCACACTCATCACTACACAGAGACCCACAGACTCACCACTCACCCACAGACTCACCACTCACCCACAGGCTCA